ATCTCCCAAATATCAAGGCCCCAAACTGTTTAGGGCTTTATATGTCATCATTTACACTTTGAAGTCAATACAGAAACGAATGGGCAGCCAATGCAAGGCAGCCAGAGTGGGGGAGATATGCTGATATTTTCTAACCCCACTAAGGAATCTGGCTGCCGCATTCCGCACCATTTGGAGATTCCGCATCAATCCACGCAGAGCGCATTACAGTGGTTCTCACTCATGCCCTAGTAAGAGTGAGGCTGTGCCTGGTTGCTCCACTCCTATGTCACTTTCTCTGTGCTGATAATCTCCAGGGCTCCACATGGATGCCAGTTGGTAGACATTGTTCCTCAGCAAAAGGAAGGAGATGAAATTAGCCTCCGGGGGGGGGAGCGTTGGAAGTACAGCAGAACTGGCATGTTTGATCTTTGAGTGTTCATTAAATATTGAAGTGTAGCATGGTTTTATAGCATTTGTGTTGACTAGTCTGTTCAGCAGGACTCCATAACCCGCTTCTGACACTGCAACATCACATGGACTGATCCAGGCAGTCCTCTAGAAGTGCTAACTTGTGTTATCAGTTATTTATTGTAATATATTTTTAAATATCTTTTAGCTGGAATAGCTACATTTTTTCACATACGGTTTGTGTAACTTGTCTGGCTGATTGATTTAGAAATGCCACGGAACACCTTGATTGCATTATTAGTTGTGACATCATGCACATGACTGAGATGCACTCTGGCACACCATCCTCACCAGTTTATAAAAACTTTACTGAACACTGATCAGATTTGAACCACTGGATCTTGAATGTCAGTCCGGATTAAAAGTGTTTTACTTGGTGGAAAATGGTTTGGCTTTTGTCAAACATGCCTTACTTTGTGATTAGAAATGGGCGCAAACCAAACCATGAACCAGAAAAACCAACGAATCGGGTTCGCTTGTGGCTCATTTGGTAAAACAGTTTGGGGAGACTAGCTTATTACATTGATCCTGACCATTGCACATCACAGCTGATGGCTTCTATTTCCTTCCTTCCTTTAGGCCTGCTGGGGACAGGACTTCAAGGCAGTACCATGACTGGCAGGTAGGAAGCTGTGCTCCTTGGTAATACTTTTTTCTTCCAAGCTTTTCTTTCACGTGCACTTATTTAGTACCACAATATATATAAACTGTGGAAGGATTATTATGTAGTAAATATTCTAGCACATTAGAAGCATCTGTAGTTCTCCCAGAAAACGAGAGCTGTGCAGGCTTTCTGCTCATCTGAAATGTGAAGTGTTCTACAATTCTGTGTTCTAATGCAGCTTGTGGAAAGGCAGGGATTTAATTACCTGTCCACTTAATTCCCTAGGTTGTGGTCCAAGGCCACTTTTGCTGGCTACAAACGAGGCCTCCGAAACCAGAGGGAGCACACTGCACTTCTGAAGATTGAAGGAGTGTATTCCCGTAACGAGACAGAATTCTACTTAGGCAAGAAATGTGCCTATGTCTACAAAGCAAAAAAGTGAGTTATCGGGACCAATCAGTAGGGCTTCATCCATAGTCTTTTAAAAAGTCTCATAATCGTGTTCAGAGGTCTAACTTGAAGCACACATTACACCATCTCAAAAGGCACGCTCCAGTGTGGAGTAAAATTCTGTCAGTAAACACATTTTCAATGCAGTTAAGCAGTGGTAAGTGTAGAGGAGATGTGAACGTAGAGAAAAAAATTATTTGTATATTTCTCGAGGCATGCTCTCCAGTGTGGAGTAAAATTCCGTCAGTAAACACATTTTCAATGCAGTTAAGCAGTGGTAAGTGTAGAGATGTGAACGTACAGAAAAAAATATTTGTATATTTTCCATGTAATATTGCTCACAATCAGAGGAATATGCCTCTAAATGATCTTATGTAAATGATTTATCCAAGACACTTGTAGAACGTTGAAGAGATTTACAGCTGAACCAGGAAAAGCTTAGGTAGGAATTCCTGCTCAACTCTGGTTCTTACCATGTGGCTTTGTAGACATTGCTTTGTTTCAACGTAAAACACCTGGCGTGGTTGGGACTGCAGGGTGGTAGACCATGCTTTGCATGCTGAGGATTCCATCTTCCATCTTTTACATTTTCAGTTAAAAGGGGCTGATGGCAACTGCAAGGAGCAAACATCTCTGTCTGGAACTATGCACCGGATTCCACTTGGTAATCCCAGATAGAGTAGACCCACCAAATCAGTGGCATTTACACATATGTTAACTTGCCACTTTGTGGATCCTCAGTCGGGACGGCCAGTGGGTTTTAAGACATAGCAGCACCAAGGTTTAGGGGGAAAAATACCGTTAAAGGCTTTTTGGAAAAGAGAGAGATACAAATAAGAAAATCCCAGACTGTGGCTAAAATAATTTACATTTATTTCTGTCCCAATGCTAAAATGTTGTTCTGGCATCAAATCCTTGGAGAATTTTCCAAATCTGAAGCAGCCCATTCCTGCCTACTTCGTGTCAATGCAGAAAAAGAGGTCTCTATGCTACTGTTTGATCTGGTAATTCAGTTTCAAGGAAGACCGGCATGTTGAGTTGCATACATAAGGAACTGTGTGTCTATTTTATCCCTGTTGGTATAGTTGATGTAGTTTTTAGCAGACTGTGACCTTTGCTGTGCAATTCATTTAGTTAATTAGTGGGACACTCTATAGACAATGTGATTGGTGCTTGTTCCTGCTAAGGACCCCTAATTGATTTATGCCTGACAGAATGGGAGAAATTATCCAGGGACAGAACAGCCTTTCTTCTGTGCTTCTGCGGGACTAACAGAGCAATCCCAGCCTGAGCCCATATTTGGAATTATCAAAGTATTGCTACAAGAATTTCTCAAAAGGAAAAAACTTATTTTCCGTCTGTGGTTCTCCTGCCTTGAGCAAAATAAGCTAGGTGTTGGGATAAAACGCAGTTAATTACACACTTCTCGCTCTGAAGGGATTTACCAGCGGGTTCCTGCGCTTGGGTGTGCGAACGATCATCACAGAGGGAACTTCCTTATTGCCTAATGTCAACTCCAGCCTGTAGTGCTTTTCACTAGAAGCAAGCTCTGTTTTTTTAAAAATCTCCATGCATCAGTAGAAACATAGTTCTGAAAGCTGAGATTCTCCTATGAGAGTCTTAGGTGAAAAAGGTGTGGGGCTTAACTGTTTGTTGGTTTCTCTTTTCAGCAACACGGTGACTCCTGGTGGCAAACCCAACAGGACCCGAGTAATCTGGGGGAAGGTGACGCGCGCCCACGGGAACAGCGGCATGGTGCGAGCCAAGTTCCGCTCTAACCTGCCTGCCAAAGCCATTGGACACAGGATCCGAGTGGTAAGGAGACGCGCCCACCTGTAGCTTTAGCAAGCTTGAGCCATGGGGGGGAGGGATGTTCTTATTTATTTATTATTTTAAAAAACTATGTGAATAAACAGCTATAAACACAGCAAGTGCTGAAGGCTTCTGGGAATTGCAGTCCAAGAACATCTGGGAACCCTAGTTTGAGAACCTACTATAAATCAGGGGTCATCAACCCTCGGTCTGCGGCCCAATGCTGGTCCGTGGGTTTGCCAGAACTGGGCTATGGATGCAGATCTGTGCACACGTGCACGGTGGGTGTGTCATGCAGGTGTATCTGCCTCCGTCGCCCACGCATTGAGCTCGCTCCCCCCCCCCCAGCCAGTCCGCGGCCCCAGAAAGGTTGGGGCCTGCTGCTATAAATGATTTCAAATACTTTGCACACTTTTAAGGGGCAGCAGCTAGTGTAAGCTTTGGTTAAGTATCTGATAAGAGTCTGACTACTGTAACTCCGTGTAACCCCGGGGTGAGCAATTAATTTCTATAAGGGGCCACATGAAAAATCTGAACTGTGTTCGGGGGCTGAACCAACTTAAAAATAAAATGCAACAGTGATGTTATGATTGTTTTTATTTTAAACTTGTTAATCTTTACAAATACTAAAGAGGTTTTTTTGCGGTATGTTAAAGATAAGCAACTAATCAACTTTAGACAAATAGCTGCAAATGGTTTTGATGTTCAGTGAGAGAAATCCAGTCTGTCTTGGGCTTGAACAAGTGTTTGAACACCAGACTGGAGCGATGACTGGTGGGCCAGACAGCAGCGGCTTGCAGGCCATATGTGGCCCTTGGGCCACACTTTGCCCAGGTCTGGCGTAGCCGGTGCTCGGAGATTATTACAGAGTTGGCTTAGAAAATGTCGGGAATACTTGGGTTCGAACCTTGAACTTTTTCCCATCAAGACTGTGAACTTGCAGACTCCTCTACTAGCCTTATTGACGGATGTTACTGCACTTAACAGCCTTGGGAGAACCCCCATCCATGCTCTGATAACCCCAGAGCCCTCTTGTAGAGGGAGAGTTTTAGTGCTTCTTGGGAATGTGGCTGGGTTCTTAGGCCAGTTCTGAAAAGGCAATAGCTTTGCTCTCCAGGATAACTAAGTAACTTATGAGATGTTCAGAATATTCAGCAAGACAAATTTGATTAAATGTCTGAAAAATCACAGGGACATCTAAGGATCCCTTCATGACATTTCTATAACTTTGCTGTATCTATTCTAACTTTTTCTTTTTCTTCTTCTTTTTTCTGGCAGATGCTGTATCCATCTAGAGTCTAAATTTCTACTGAAAAATAAAATTCAGAATATATTCCACTATTGTATATTTGGTCTTATTGTTATGTTTTCCTTTTGTTCGGATGAATCAAAAATGGGAAAAGATCTGTTGTTGCTAACAAAGGCATCAAAGTGACAGGTTCTATTTTGTTGCTTTTTTAAAAAAAATAAAGCTTTGAAATTTTTCACTGCCGTTTCTGCCACTAGCGTTCTTGCTTTTGAAGCTGTTGGACTGAAGATGCTGGATCACTCAATATCTGTTTAGTGCATTCTAAAGCCAGCTCAGTCATATCTCTAATGTATTTTGTAGTAAGAAGGAAGATTCTGGGCCTTTTGGCATCGTTGTTTTTATTGCAGCCTTAAGATATACCAGGTGCTCTACCAGAAGGCAAGAGATATACCCTGTTCGTTAATTTAAGAGTATCTTGCAACACATTGCAAGCCCACTTGGTGTTAAATATTACAACTAAACTAAATGTAGAGTCTGTTCGCATAAAAGTCTGCTCCTCCTTACTCCGAAGTTTCTGATAACATTTTGAACAGCCTGACTGAAATGGGAACACTTCTTCTCTTTTGCTGTTGGTAGCCAGTTTGACATCAGCCACTTGCTCGTTCTTGGTTCGTTTCATTTGCAGTCCAGTCATGTTTCCAGAGTGGAAGGATCAGGCTGACTGTGCCCTGCTGTTGCCCAGAAGATGCCCAGATGTATTCATAGCCCTCACATTCCTTTGGGGGGGGGGAGGATGCTTTCTGTGTCTCTTACTTCAGTACAAATCATCAAGAGATCTGCAAGATGGGCCCTGATCTGTCTTCACCCTTTTCCCCAGCCATGATGTGACTTCATAGTTTAGGTGTCTTTGGCTTTAGTGGACACAGAGATGCTTTCTCCACCTACATGAACCATTTGCATCCAAATATATAGAATATATGCCTAAACATGCACATTTGGAGCATAAAACTAGATGAATTCCTATTTGTATTCTGTACACAAGTTCATCAGGTGAAGGTTCCCTTTGACATTTAAGTCCAGTCGTGTCCGACTAGGGCGCGGTGCTCATCCTCGTTTCCAAGCCGTAGAGCCAGCGTTTGTCCGTAGACAGTTTCCATGGTCACGTGGCCAGCGTGACTAGACACAGAATGCCGTGACCTTCCTACCGAGGTGGTCCCTATATCTACTCACATTTGCATGCTTTCGAACTGCTAGGTTGGTGGGAGCTGGGACAAGCGACCCCTCCACCATGTGGTTTTGATCTTATGACATCTGGTCTTCCGACCTTGCATCACAGAGGCTTCTGCGGTTTAACCCGCAGTGCCACCACGTCATCAGGTATATCCATTAGTAATCTATTTTACCTCTTTGATTCACTGGCCACTGAAGTCACTTTAGCCTTATATCCTGCCAAAAGTAGAATCATTCAGTCTTCGATTTAGATGCCACATTTGTCCCTTCTCAATCAATCCATTAAACTGGCTGTGATTCTAAAACTGCCTCATAATTATCCTAGCCCTTTCAGCTTTTCTGTCTTTCCACCCCCAGAGTCCTGGATTCAAATCCCTGCTCAGCCATGCAAGTTTACAGAGGGGCCGTGTAAGCCACTCCTTTAATATCTCACATACCTTAAAGCCTTTTAAGGGTTGCCATCAGTTGTAAGTGTCTTGATAGCCCATAAGGCTGTAGCAGAGCTATTAAAACCTACATGATCTCTAAGCTGAAATCTACTTGAGAATTGCTGTGAATGAAGAGCTGATATAATTAATTCTCTTCCGACCAGTTTAAATATCTTCTCCGAAACAAAGTGCTGAGGAACAGATAATGGACAACATAACTCAGGGTTCTTGGTCGGTAAGATTCCCTTGACTACGGGAGATCCCAATAGAGGATAAGATATAATAATCAAAACATGAAAGATTTTATTTACATATTTAAAATGGTTTTATTCTGCTTTTCTCTTTAAAAAGTGCAGGCTTTCTACCAGGATAAACTACAGTTGACTCCCAAATGATCCTTGTAGGTCTGTTGCCATCCAGCACCGTTCCTTCTCTTGAACTGTATGTGTTTCTCTACTGCTGGGGGGCAGTAAAACCACAGTGGAGGCACACGTACTTGTTAAGGGAAGTCAAGCTTGACCACCCCATTCAAAGCCGCCCCATTTAAATGCCTTTTGTAGATGCCTCAAGGACTAATGTTTAGTGGCTTACCTTGGCCCAAATCCTGTTACGTAACTAATTCGTACGTTTTGGTCCGCTACTCGCTGGGAAATAAGGAGCCCTAACGAGATTCGTGGGGGCCCGTGAACACACAGCAAATGTGCTTGTGTGATGCAACAAGACTTTGGCCATTGTTTAGTAGCCATCTGTCTCCGTGTTGGTCTTTTATTTATTTATTTATTGGATTTCTATCTAGACCAAAGGTCTACTCTGGACGGTTAAGGACAGATGTTAAGGTTCAGGTCATGGACAGATGTTAAGGTCCAATTTCTGCAAAGTTATGATTCTGTAGTAGAAGACACCATCTGGAAGGCAGACTCAACTGCGGAACAGTTTCAAAATGAAGTGTGCAAAGGCCCTGACAGGAGAAGGGCCACCGGGACAAGAAAATATTCATCACACATTCAGCTTTTTATGGTGTAAAGCATCTTTACAGTAGCTTCAGCAGGCCTACAAGCAAGTGCTACCAGTTTCACAAAGGTAAAAGATGGTGTGGCCTTCATACACAGTCCGGAGGCAAGACTGGGGGACACCACTGAAAAAACACAAGTTGGCTCGGGACCCGTATCAGTCTTCCCCGGGCTGTGAAGGGTGCACTCAAAACTTTAAACGTTCCCCCCCCAAAAATCATGGACAGATGCGTCGGGATCAGGTTCCTTGGTGAAAAAAATAAGTTCCAAAACGGGGGCTACGGACACCCCATCAGAGCTGTAGGTTTTTGTCTTCCATTACCACTGTCTGTGTCATTTTGAACGATGCAGCAGAAGGACAAAGACTCGCAGAGGAGAATAGCTTCAAGTTCCCCAGATAGACCACCCCTTTCTCATGGCCTGGCACTTATGTTCGCTTCAAGTTCCCCAGATAGCCCACCCCTTTCTCATGGCCTGGCACTTAGTTTCAACTCATTTTGAGACCTGGGTAGGAGAAAGAATAAAAGCGTTTCATTACTCGCAGTTGTGAACCGTTGGAAACTGACAATGTTTCTAACCAATTAAGAGAGAGAAAACACTCAGCAGAGATGAAGGGGCTCTCTCTCTCTCTCTCTTGATGTCGTTCCCCAGATAGCCCACCCCTTTCTCATGGCCTGGCACTTAGTTTCAACTCATTTTGAGACCTGGGTAGGAGAAAGAATAAAAGCGTTTCATTACTCGCAGTTGTGAACCGTTGGAAACTGACAATGTTTCTAACCAATTAAGAGAGAGAAAACACTCAGCAGAGATGAAGGGGCTCTCTCTCTCTCTCTCTTGATGTCAGAGGTGGGAGGAAATGACTGGTTAGTGCTGAACAGATTGACAGTCCCCTGTCCAAAAACGTCCCTCCCAGCCACTCAAACTGCAGGCAGCGTGTGAGGTTGTAAATACTCCAGCGTTCTCTTGGTCTTCTCCCACCACCTCACCCACGTTCTACTCCCATCGTTTTACTTCCACCCAGGTGGAATCTTTCCTGTCAATACGGCACGTTCTTCACTCACCCCTCCGATCACATACTGTACATACTAAACCAACACTTTTCGAAACAATACATATAAAATAACTAGGCACCACAGGATCCCTGGTGATAAGTGTCTTGAGTCCAAGCGTCTCGTTGTTTCCAAACGAAACCATGAACACCTCCATCATTCAGTGCTGTAAACCAGTGGTTCTTAACTCAGGTGTTTTTGAACTGCAACTCCCAGAACCCTCAGCCAGCAGAGCTGATGGTGAAGGCTTCTGGGAGTTGCAGTCCAAAAACGTCTGAGTAACAAAGGTTAAGAACCAGTGCTGTAAACCTCTGGTGGAAATCGCTCAAAGCAGAGAACCACACAGCCGTTTTCTGAACAGCTTTTCTAGCGCCGGCGCTCCTCTAACGAATTCATCTACTGGCCTTCTCAGAGGCTCCAGTAGTGGACACATAGGGATTGCCCCGTAGGGATTGCCCCCTATATAGGAGCCACCCATCCCAGCAGCCGAAAAAGAGCGTTCTCTTCTGCGGTCTTTGTTTTTCCCACAAAGCTAGGGCGCAGTGATGAAGCACTTAGGATTCCTTAGATGGGTTCATGTGTCCAGGTCGATTTTAAAATACTTTAGCGAGACTCCTGTAAAGTCTGCCAAGTTTACTCTGTGGACAGAGGGCTGATCGGAGGTCTCAATGCAAAAAGAAAGTAGACTTTGCCTTGTTTTTTCTAGTAAACATTGGCCGGATCGATAAAGCCGTGGTGGAGACTGACCGATTTATACGGTTTGGCCAGCCACTGCAGTACTAGAGCTTGCCCGCATGCCCGAAACAAGTGTTTTATGAATAGAACTACAATATTGCAGGTTCTCTCGCTCACCCCCTCCCATCTCATGCTCCCAAAACCAGCCCCTTTCGAAACAGTATGCTTAGCATGAACGTATACACAACACGTGTAAAAATAACGGGGGGGCCACAGAATCCCTGGCAATAAGATGATCAAGGGATTGCTTGCAGGGGGCTTTTGAAACCGAGTCCACGCTTGCAGGTCATCCACTCGGGCCTCAAAGAATTCCCGGCATCAGAAAACCTAGCGACTGTCCTGCTCCAGGAGCTTGGGAAAGCGCAGAATGGGGAAGGGCAACTTCCATTCTCTCCAGCCGGCTGCTTGTCACTGCAATGAACACACGTCACTCCCGCCCTGCCTTTCCCTCGGCCTGGGAGTCCTGTGGGCTACCAAAGGAGCCGGGTGGCTGCATGACCAAGGATGGGGATCCAAAGGGCAGTGGCCGTCTCCTCTCCAGTTGCCTTGAAAACAACGACAACCGTGATTTGGACCTTTTGTTTTTTCTCAAACCACTGTGAAGGCTGAAAAAAGGGCCTCCCTTGGCCATCTGGATTCTCATGC